TGCTGGCAGTGATGAAAACAGGTGCATGGGGGCTATGCAGATGCTGAGTAGCATGATGTATGACACCAAGAAGAAGGGCAAGGCAAAAAAGGTAGCTGGGGTGCGCTATGTGGATGTGCAGGTTGGTGGCAAAGCCGTGCAAGCGTTAGTGGACACGGGCGCCACACACAACTTCATTATCCCGGAGGAGGTGCAACGACTTGGCTTGGAGATGCACAAGACGGAGGGCTGGATCAAGGCCGTCAACTCCGAGGAGGCACGCGTGAGTAGAGTGTGCAAGGAGGTGGAGCTATGCATGCAAGGATGGAATGGCAAGGCCGACTTCTAGGTTGCGGAAATGGACGACCACGACATGGTGTTGGGGCTGGAATTCATGGACAGGAACAACGCCGCGCCACTACCATGCCTTGGTGCCTTGGTGCATTAATGATACTTGGAGGTGAAGAAGGCAATGCGACATGCATGGTGTCGCTCGTGGGCAGGAAGGAGAGTCTAGAGGTGGCAGTCAACACGATGGAGCTCATGAGGACCTCACATCTCCCGAAGGGCGCTCGTACGTTTGGGCCAAGGACATATGCGCAAGTGCTGATGACCTGCGAAAGGCTGGGTCAGCTGAAGAAACCGTGACGAGGGCGTCACAGAAATGGGTAGGGGAGAATGTCACGCCCTGCCTATAGAGGTTGTGCCACGCAGGCGACACGCAGACGCTGAGGAGGACGCTGCATGACAATTACATGGCAAGTGGAGTTTCTAGAGTCTTCCGGAGTTGTTTAAAGTTGTGTAGAAGATTCTAGATATGTGTAGTATATTTTAGAGTTCTCCAGAATTGTGTGGAATAGTATGGAGAGTTCTAGAATGTTGTAGATACTTGTGGATAAGTATGGAAGTGTGAAGAGGTGGGAGAAAATTCTAGAGAATCGATCTCCACCGTTGGTTAAAATGCATCTTAGTCTTCCATTAGGGATAGGGATGCCTATAAATAGGAGTAGGACTTCATTTTGTAGGCAACAAGTCCTAGAGTGAGTCTTGAGAGCCTTGTAGAGAGTTTGAGTGCTTGCCTTGTACAAAGCATTCTTTGAAGTAATAGAAGTGTTCTTTCCTTGCTAACTTAAGTGCCTTAGTATGTGTAAGTGTGCAAGCCAAGTGAAGAGAGGGCGAGGGCCACTACAACACTAATAAGTGCACGAGAGGAGTGTGTTGGCTAAGGTGCCGCACGGGAGTAGCTAGAGTGGTGCTGAAACTCTAAACCAGTGACACTGGGCTAACTTACAATGTACTTCTTTTTCATCAATAAATTTATCTTTATCTTTCCAAAAATAAATAAATAAATAAATAAATTCATGATAAAATCCCTTCATGATATATTTTATTACAAAATTTTTTTTTGACTTATGAAAGGATCAAATAGTGCATTTGTTGTTGGAAGCATGACTATTGCTTTATGATTCTGTATTTTTATTAATTACTACTTCTTCAATCTTATTGATCCGCGGACCTTGTATTTGCTTCTCGTGATGGTCTGTAATGACCCATGTGCATTATACTTGAGCTAAATGATATTGAAAATGTCTCTGTGAGCTTGTGAAACATTATAGTAAGACTTAGTGATTGTCAGTATAGCGTCCATAAGCGAGGAATTTCTTTTCACGTATTGATTTTATTTATTTGGCTGGCATTATATATATATATATATATATATATATATATATATATATGTTACATTCTATTTATGTTACGTGAATAGAATAATAAATAGAAGGGTAAATTACATACACAGACATCCCCTCAAGTTTGGTACTAAGTGAAAGTAATAAAGTCTAATTAGTCTATCTATATAATATTTTGTCCAAATCTCAAAACTCAAAAGAGGTCAGCATAATTTACACAATATCCTTATTTATATATACATATATAGTATTTAAAAGTATGTTTCTTATTTCAAACAATGTATCCAAAATGAGAGAGAGAGGGGGGTGATGAGCTTCGCCTACATGTACTGCCCTTACCACCACACATTTCAAATTGAGAGTTGAAATGTTTATCCTTACTCGTATATTTTGTAGCTATGAACCCAAATTTCACTCATTTAATAAGAAAAATTATTTGTGAACGTTTTCGTAATTTAATAGTTGGGTTGCTCTATGTTATATTTAAGAGTCCGATTTCGAGTCTTCACACTTCTAATTTATAATCTAACATTCTTACTCTGAAAAAATAATAATAAGAAAAGTTATCCGGGCTTAATTTGAATTCATGTTTAACATCATTTTGCTTTGTTCATGACTTATACTAACCTACATGGGTTGTTCATGAACCGATACAAGACTATATATATAAAAACATGTTTATAAGCTTATATGAGCCCTACAAGAGTTTATATTGATGAATATATTCAAGCTACACGAATTTATGTTCACGGGCATACACTAGTTGAACCCAATACTATTTAGGATTTGCTCGTTTACTAAACAAGCTTAAAAATCGAGCTCAACTCTTTTGTTTAGTGAACGAAATTCGATCCAAACCTTAAATGAGACGAGCTCGAATTGTTCATAAACAACTCTGTTTATTTTCTTTTTTCTTGAACAACTCGATTTTTTTTCCTGAAACGACTTTAGTTCATTTGGAGCCCTAACTACTAGGATTTGGAACAAATTCATTAATTTGCTACCACAAGTTCTAATTGAAATTATTTCTCCTTTTTTAAAAAAAAAAATATATTAAAAAAAAATAATAATAATTCTCTTTCAATCCCGTATGTCTTATGCTATGCTGTGTTTGACATGATTTAAGTTGTGTGGAGAGAAAATAAGAAGGAATGAGACCATCTCCAATACAAAATGCTATTTTTGCATGCCAAATCTATATTTTGAGAAGAGCTACAGTGTCAAAATGCTATATTTTAGTAATTTTGCTCCAATGATGTATTTCATCCAAAATGCTATTTTTTGACACAACAACCATTATTTTTCAACTACTATTCCCAACTACAATTTTCAACAACCAATTTTTTTTTTTTTTTTTTTTTTTGAGTGTTTATATTTTATTTAGCTTATTTGCCTTATTAAAAATAAATAAATAAAAATACTGACATATATATATATATATATACAATCACAAAAGATATATATATACAACAACAGACATATACATATATATACACACAACACTGACATATATATATCACAACTGACATATATAAAATTGGCAGTCAAACACTAAATTGACAGCTCATGTGAGAGAGAAGGAAGAGAGCAATAGCAGATTTGGCACTAGCTATATGTTGTGTTATATTTGGTACAACATAATCAACATTTGGCAAAGTTATATTTTGGCAGCCCATTTGGCATGCCATTAGAGAACCCATTTTAAACCTACATGTTATATTTTGAAAATAGCATCCCATTGGAGTTGCTCTGAACAAATTTCATTTATTCGGTAAAGATGATATAAGGAAAGAGAGGGTAATGAGAAAGATGAACCATCCTTCATCATTTACAAATTTTCATCAAATTAAAAAATGGGCGGAAGACAGGGGGATTATTATAGAAGTTTTAAATTTAATATTATAGTAAATTATACAAGTTTTAAATTATATTACTATTCTCTATAAATTATAATATTTTAAATATTTTAAAACTTTCTCTTTCCTTCTCTCTTAACAAATATAGTAAATTATAAGTTTATTCTCTTCTCTTCTCTTCAATCGAACAAATAAATAAATAAATAAATAAATACACATTATCTTCCTTAAGGGTTCGTTTGATTGGATAAAAATTTATGATAGAAAGTGAAAATGAAAAAAAATTAAGTGAAAGAAATAAAAATTAAGTTTCTACCATGCATTAATTACCATGAAAGTTTTTTTAAAAAGTTATGAGAAAATATTATTTTTTAGTTTTGGTAAGATGAAAGTGAAAAGAAAGTGATTCTACTTGTCAAAGCTACCTTTATATCCGTTAGAATTTAAAAAATAAATATTGTACAATAGATGATGAAAAAAAATTATAATAAAATAAGGCAAACAATTTTTGGAAGTTGGATTATATTTAATTTATGAGGACTCAGCTAAATATCCAATTAGATATTATTATTTTATTTTTTTCATAATCACTATTTACGTCCACCCATGGCTAAGGATTGATGAATTATATTAAAAATATACCAGCTATATATATATATATATATATTTCATAAAATACTAGTTGACAACTCACAAAGAACAACTAACAAGAGAGTTACTCAAAAACAAATACAAACAAAATAGTTGGATAAAATAGGATAGTAAAATAAAACGGACTCCTTCACACGGAAATAATATTTTCGCATGTTTGTAGATGCATAAAATTTCGGATTGAATGCCACAGTTCAATCAGAAGAATTTTATACTCAAACACTCGTTGGGGAAACAATGAGGAGACTTTTATACTCAAACACTCGTTGGGGAAACAAATAATTAGTGAACGAAAGAGAAAAAGAGCATGATCAAGGAAGAACAAAGTTGCAAAGGCTTATAGTGCCGAGAATGATCTGTCTTTTATTTGAGTCTTGCCCTCATATTTATATGTGAACAATGAAATCATTATGGAGGCTTTCCATATCTGGAGCTTAATAATCTCTGCAATTTGTTGGCGTCCATTACTCATAGCCGTGTTGGTCAAGGCTTCAGGTCGGGCTTCCCGGGTTGGGCTTCGCTCATCAGGCCGATTTGGGACTTGAAGCTTCCCTTCGGGCGCTTCAGCTGTTTATTGGGATTGGGCTTATTTCTTCTGCCCAATTTGTTGGGTTTACATTCTTACTTGATTTGAGTACACATGAATTTTTGTGATTGGTGGAGAAATATCCTTCACATTTTGAAGAAAAATAGGAAATCAACAAATTTTCTGCTTCCTGTTTTTAACTTTTTATCCAAACTTCAAAAAAAATAATTTTTTCCTTCTGTTTTTTTAACCTAAGAATATATCATCCATCAATTATTCTCTCTTCATTAAATTAAATTTATTATTATTATTTTTTGTTTCCCCCTACTAAAGAGCATTAGGGTTTTAGTGTTACTGATCCTTTCTTGTCTTGCTCAATTCCGGCTTTGTTTCGGCCGACACAGAGAAAAATAGGTGATGTGCGAGTTGCTGAAGCAAGTGCACGCGCATCCACTGGCCACTGCAGCGTGCGTTAGCAAGTGGCAGTGGCATTGGACTTACATCGGCTGCGGCAACCAACAGCTAGCCTTCAGTGGTCGTTCGCCTCCGTTTGGCCTCTGCTGCCGCAAGGCCTTTTCCTCCGCAACCGCCATTTGGTGATTCCACGAAATCCACCACCACCAAAACTCGTTGGGGGAAGGATAAGGTTCATTTCTCGCCCTCTCTATTCGTTGCAATTAAGTAAATCAACTTCAATATTGAACGCAATTGACCTTAATCTACCTCTTGATTTATCTTCGAGTTCAGATTGTTTGCGTTCATCACTTCTTCTTTTTCTGGGTATCAAGTGTTCTATTAACTCCAAACACAAAACCTCATAACAAGTAATTGAACTTATAGATCTGTTGGTACTTTTTTAGATCCATGTCAGCCTAATGGTGTTGGCTGATTGACCTTGGCTAGACATGCCACTGGGTTTCCAATTGAATCATTTTTGGATGGATGATGAACGCCACAAACATATTAATCAGCCTACTGGCCGAGATATGTAGTTAAATCTCTTTTTTACTTCTTGTTTTTGTACATGTGGTGGGGTCCTTGTATATATGTGTGTATTTGAGTCTTCATGTGCACATATATTTGATTTGTGTGTGTAGGAAATAAGACCAATATGCTCTCATTTTTTCAGAGGCTAATCACACATACATGTTGTATAACCCATGTAGACCCTTCTTAAAGAATGTGTCATTGGCCTTTATAGCCTTGTCTTATACGTATATTATATATATAAATTATACTTATGTATGCATGTATGTTAGCTTAAAACGGAGAACTTTGAATCACAAAATAGTGTTAGGTCTGCTCGGAGGCCAAATGCCATGTTTGGAGATTAGAGAAAAGTGACAATGACATGTCACCATCAATTTTTTTGAAGATTGGAATGAGAAAGACAATTGGCTTGCACAACTTAAAGCTATATATATTTATATATTTTAAAGCCTCATTTAAAAATTTAGACTTGTTCGCACCAATAATTGGCCCTCCTTGAAAAACCAGTTCTTATTCTCTCTCTCTACAACTCCTTAGTTGTACTTTAGTTTTAATTAGTTGCACCTTATCTTTCTTGTATCTCTCTTAAATATAGCCTAGATTAGTCTTTCTCTATGTGCAACTCCATGGTTTTAGCCTTAGGAAAGACTTAAAAATAGTATGTAGTTGGTTGGTTGTAATGTGACGGTGATGGTGGCGATGATATATGGAGTGTATTTTGAAAAATATGATGAAAATAATAATGAATATGGAAACAAAGATGTATTGTAATTTTGGTTCCATTGTTACATAAGGCTATTAAAAATGTACGTTAAACACTAATATAGTAATGTAAAATGGCGAGGGAAAGCTTGCATTACAGTAAATTTAATGGAAAGCTAAGTAAATCTATAATAAAACCTAGAGTACAATAAGGTAAAGCTACAACATTAGAGTTGTAGAGCGAGAAATTTAAGGTGAGGTGATGGAGATCGTGAGGGGTTTCACAAATAACTTATGAATAGGAGAAGAGATCTTCATCATCTTCTTATGCTAGCTTTCTTTTTTGACTTTTGTACCAACTATTTTTTATATCCATTAGGGTTTCCTCAAGAATTTGACTACATATATAGCCTTGTTAAGAGGGTTGATCAACTTGGAATAAAAAATTGTAATTTAAAATCTCTATTTTACTTTTCCAATTACTCTTCTCTACCCTCAATACGTCTAGCCTATCTATACACTCTTATCTTTTCATCCTCTTATTCTTTCCCTTTTTCTAGTCTCTTCTAATTTTATCATTCTCATTCCCTTCTTTCATTACTTATTCTACATAAATTTGGTATTAAAGCATACTCATCCTACATCAACTTGGTAGTAGAGCGTACTGCTCCTCCATCGGTCCAGTACACTCTGATACCAAAACTTATGCAAGATCAAAATGCTCTTATGCCAAGTTGATGCAGGGTGTGAATGAAAGAAGTGGATGACAATGAGAAGAGGACATGAGGCCAAAAGAAAAGGGCAGTGAAATAGACTAAGGGGGTGAGTGAGAACTGAGAAGATAAAGTGAATAGTCAAAAAGAGGGTAGAGAAGAGCAAGAATTCGGGAAAAAGTAGAATTAAGGGGGGAAGTCTATATTTCGGTCAATCAAAAGCTGCCCAATACAATAATACGGCCATATATATAGGCAATCCAAGAACTCTAATGTTCATAATAGCTGCTAAAAATATATAAAGAGGTCAAAGCTTCTAAAATACAATGCATATGCCCTATATATAGGCGAAATCTCAAGGAACACTAATGAATAAAAATAAAAGTCGCTACACAAGTTAAATTAGTTGCAGGAGCATCATGATTTGCATCAATTTTTTTTGGCTGAAAAGAACTCTCCTCTGTTGAATAAAGCTAGTAGTACTGCTCAGCATATTCTTGATAAGCATGCCAATATTCGGTGAAGAATTGCTATAAGTAATGAATATCATAAACTTGTTGCAAATACTCATCATAGAATTAGGAGTTCAATGAAGGAGATGTTGTTTTAGTTTGTGTTTGCTCAAAGCATTACCCTAAAAACTACTTCAAGAATTTGAATGTCCAATCTATTTGACCTTAATTGTAAGTTGGTACTCGATGTATATTTAATTGACGTACCATCAAATATGGATATTAGTCCAATTTTTAATGTGAAAGATTTGTCACCTTTAAGCCTCTTCTTTTTCATCCATCGTCTCCTCTTCCAATCATATTCTGCTCATGCCACAGGGTGATTCACAATGATTCCTTGTTTGATAGAAAGGTCGTCTGAACTCAAATTCAACATGGTTTAAAGTGGATAATTTTTGCCATATTAACCTTGAACTTCTATAGTAGTATTTTCTCCGCTATTTTTCGGAATCAAGTTCTTCGTATCCAGGGAGATTAGATGGAGATCGTGAAGGGTTTTGGACCTACGTTAGGTGTAGGGGAAGAAATCTTCTCATGCCAGCTATTGTTTTTAATCTTTCATAGCAGTTATTTTTTATTCTCTTTAGAGTTTCCTTAAGATTTTGCCTGTATATATGGCCTTGTGGAAGAGGAATTATTAGCTTAGAAAAATTCAATAATATTGTGGTTTGAGATCTCTTAATATTATTCTTTCCCATTTTGAATTTTTTTTTTGTATATTATATAAAATTGGCTTTAGTGGATATCTTGAGGCTATAGGTTTTTGTGCAGCTTGTTCTATGCCTCGACCCCCTTTTGGGCGCTCTTGAATGAACACTTATCAAAATATATGTGTGTGTGTGTATAAATATAATTTGTTCAGTAGATGAGAAAATGTCATGCGAACCTCTGACAAATTCTTTAAGAATGGTTAAATGGCTTACACACGACATATATATGTGATCAGCTTTTAGAAATGGGAGGACGTTGTCTCATCTCATATATATATATATATATATGAACACGCATACACACACACACACACACACACACACATGTATATGTTATCTTATTTCACATGGATCATACCATATGCACCAAATTGGAAAGGAAAAGAGATCGAAAGACATGTCTCAGCCTGTAGGGCAATTGGCATTTTCAGAGTGTTAACCATTTGTGTAAAACACTTCGAAAATTGTCTATCATTGCCACGTGTTGTTCACTTCTTTCATCACGTGGCTCAATTAGGGCCTTTCAATTTGGGACCAAAGTGGATGCAATGTGTTTGAAGGCATCTGACAGTTCCCCATCCAGCCATAAGACACTATATTGAAACAATTCCACCCACTAGTTCTTTTCTCTTCTCATATTGGCTTTGCAGTTTATCATCTCTGGCTAAAGCACAAATGAGTATCTTCTGTGAGGTTTCATTAAAATGGACCTTAGCAAACAAGTAACTATCATCTAATCTATTATGAAACATCTTATGCAAATGACAGTGAGACCATCTACTCGCACGCAATGCCCCAACTTGAATGGGACTTCATGGTACGGGAGAGGGCACCTTGAATTTGTCACTCAGCGTCGCCTTTAAAATGCCATTAGTTACAAACTGTTGCTACTACATGAAAGTCTTCCCTATTTATTTTTATGTTGGTACCTCAGCATTGAATGCTCTTTGCCCACCCTTAGAAGTATATCCTCTTTCACACAAGTATTTTTGTATATGAATAAGCACACCTAACATCAACCGTTATTCATTATCCTTTGCAACTCTAAGCAGCTAAAAACATTATGGTTGCTCCATTTGTACTCATTGTCCTTTATGTGGTCCTATCTTCACCATTTTCATCTTCTGAAGAAAAGCAAAGGCTCATCTCTCTCCGTGGAGAAACCAGACAACATTTTGATTTCAACAAATGGCATGTTCTCCGAAGGCTTTTACCCTGTAGATGATAATGCATATTGTTTGGCAATATGGTTCAGTCGAGCATTGTTCTGTGGGAGTCATATTGTGGTTTGGACAGCCAATCGAGATTTAACCAGTTAATTGGAGACTTTCAAATCTCTCCCTACTAATCTTATCTTAACATATGCTTACCGTTTCACTCTTTGGGCCATGAAAACTGTTTCAGTCTATTTGGTGCAATTGCAACTTTGTGACACTGGTAATCTTGTTCTTCATACCTTGGAGGTTAAAATTCTTTCGAGAATGCTTTGATTCACAAATAGATACTCTTCTTCCTCAATAACTGCTCATCAAAAATACAATACTTGTTTCAGCAAGAAGCCAAACAAGTTATTGTTATTCTTCTGGTTTTCACGAGTTATTCGTCAATGAGGATAATGTTCTCCAACTACTTGTCTTTGATGGCGTTGAAACATCCGGAGGTTATTGGCATGTCCCAGGACTGCAACCATATGAAGGTGGAAGGTCCACCTACAGACTACAGTTACAATAGAACTTCAGTAGATTCCTTCAGCAATTTCAAGTCGTCCTATGATTTTGGTGTTCTCTTCTGCTGATGGGCAAAGGGCCTAAGAGAATTGATTGTTGATGCTGACGAAACATTACGGAGTGGTCTGCACTTATGCTGTTGATAGCGGTAGGAGATGCAATTGCATAGTGAGGTAGAATATGGAGAAATCACGGATTGGTCTTATGATTGTACACAATGATGAGGTTGTTTCCATCCAACTCTCTCATGTTGAGTTCCATGTCTATGGTATTCGGTACTCCTCAAATCCCAAATCACACCTTTGAAATTGTTTTTGGTACTACAAATTGGCTATTTTATTCACATGAAGAGTGCTGGGAATGGGTTTTTACACTTCATGTGAAGCCTCAGAACATACTCTTGTACTACAATTACCACCCAATAGTGGAAGATTCTTGTGTGTCTGAATAGAGGTTACACTGGTACTGTCCGCGACTCCACACCACGGTCACTTTGGTGGGGGAGAAATGCATTGGAACTTGAGGAAATGCATCATGGATCAAAGAAACCATACTATACCATGGATGGTGAATATGGCAAGATGGAGCTTCTTGAAATGTGCAGAGGAAAACAGAAATGCAAGACCCACCGTGAGTAAGTCGTGGATGTACTTCTGCGTCATATATGTAAGCGATGACTTCTAAAAAGAGTCATTGTACGTTAATCCTTGGATCATGTTTGGCATTTTGTAAATTTTTGTTTGTTGATCATTTTTAATATTGTTATTTTATTATCTTCTCTGTAATTCGGTCTGCTAGGCCTTTTGCTGCATTTGTAGTTTTTTGGCCGAGTTTATCATATCTATTTAAGTATTTATGGTGTATAAATGCCACTTAGCTGCTATTATGAAACTTGCAATAAAGGCACATATGACAAAACCCATCTTGACACTGTCATCATGTGAAATTGTAATAATTTTGTTTTATTTTATTTTGTAATAAATTGACAAATTTAACCGTTGTTTGGGCTTGGGTCATGACACGCACTTTGATCTACTATTTTGGGCTGAGATTTAATCCTTGTAATGGTTGTGGTGGGCATCCCTTTCGGTCCAAAAACAAAACTAATGTTTTGAAAGCGAGGAGTGCTACAGTAGCGCTCTGGTTGGCTACAAAGCCAAGTAGAGGTCCCACTTTTATTATTATTATTTTAGTTTCTATTATTATTATTATATATCCTATATTTTTAAAAAAATTACAGTCAATCTCATTATCAAGGTGAAGGTTTATAGCCCAATTTTACAATTATATAATACAAGAACATTATTACCCTATGTTTAATATATAACCGTCTCTTTTGTATAAAATTATAGTAAATGGTATTACGAGGCCTTCAAAGTAGAAGGTGGTGGGTATAGCTTCACTTTGGCTGTTTAAATCTTTGTAGATATAAAGTGGGTGTGCGAACCATTTAACATTTGGTTAATCAGTTCAATTCTTATATTTGGTGAATCAATTTGAATAAATTATTATTCACTTTAATTAGAATAAATAAATAAAAAGTTGGGTGAACTACATTAAACCTCTTTTTTCTATCTATGTTTTTCACTAAACTCTCATTTTCTATTTTTTTTTATCACTAAACCCCCCTCAACTATTGCGGGGGGTGATTTAACTAATAGAAGTTAGCGGGAGCTGTTTGGACATTTAGTTTCTCATATATTTTTTAGACAAAAATGTCCCTAATATACCCTCACATATATATATCTATTCCATTATCACTCTTAGCCGCATATCTTCCACCGTTGTAACAACACGTACTCTTTCATCATTATAATATTATATATAATTTGTATCATAATATAATGTTTTATATAATATATACTATTTAATATTATTTATACTATATTTTCATTTCCATCTAGCCTTCAGACCAATATAAATCTAGATTTTTTTCTTGAAATTTATCTGCTATATATATATATATATATATATATATATATATATATATATATATATATATATATTTGAGAATTATATTGTGCATTCATTTATTTGGTTTTTATTGATTTTCATTTTATATAGATTTATTAAAGGGACACTACGAGAAATAATGCCTAATTTTTTTTATTTTTTATATTAATATTTATGCCTACATGTTTTCTTCTTCTTCTTCTTCTTCTTTTTTTGAATATTTCAATATCATTTTTTCTATAAAAAAATAAAAAATTCTTTCCATGTGACTAATGTGAACTTGTCAGTCTAGTAAAATGTTAAAACAAAAAAATAATAGAAGTGTTAATTTCTGTGAATGATGTCGTTTAGATTATTTAATAAATAAAAAAACAAGAGGCAAAGTAGATTTTTAAATAGGCTTTAATAGGTATTTAAGTCAATTTATATTTCAGTTCTCTTTTAACTAACTACCTTAGTTAAATCACCCTCCTTGAATAGTTGAGGGGGGTTTTTTGGCAAAAAAAATAAAAAAAGAGAATTCAATGAAAAACACATATAGAAAATAAGAGTTTAATGTAGTTCACCTAAAAAATTTATAAAATTGTCGAAAGTTGTCTCTTCCCTAAATTGAAATGCTGAGTATCAACTCTATTCACATGAATATGTTTATTAGATTTTTTAATTTTATTTTGACAAATAATAAATGCATTCACGTACCTTATTGAGATTTGAACGTTCACACTTTCTATAGTTTTTGTTTGCTTAGAAGACAAATCAGTAGAAGGTTCAGTGTATGCGTCCCATTAAAAAATTTTATTATCATATTTTATATCTTTAAATTTATATTTTTTTATATTTGTATTCAAAAAATTTTAAAATTATCCTCACTAAAATTATAAAAAAACTATTCTATATAAATTTTTCTCCGATATGAATTCCTAAATCTATACCGGCGGCTTAGTCCACCAAGTAAGTAATCAAAACTCTAATGATAACGATTAGTGGGAACTACAAGCCGTAGTGAGGAACTTAGGATTCAAAAATTTCCTCTAGAATGAGACTTCTAGAATGGCACGAGACCTCTAGAATGTCCTGGCACTCTCTTGTAATTTTATCTCTTCCACGTACACCAAGATTTAACCAGAACGTTCTCTCTCTCTCTCTAAAATAATAAATCACTGTGACAGATCTTTAAAGACTCCCACCCTTTCCCTGCCACGTGCGTCTCCTCCTATAAATTCAACACCCTACTCCCAATGAGAAAATAAAAAAACACACATACTGCACAAAACACACACTCAAAACTCTCACATTGCTTCTATATTTTTCTAAAGATGAGGGGTTCAAAATTTGCTGTGGTACTTTTGATCTGCTTGTTGCAGCTCTTCTTGTTACTCGAACCATCTGATGGGTCATCAGTGCTTCCCTTCGCGGAACGCTCTCCGTTTGGTGGTCTGTGGTCGGATCCTTTCCCGGATCCGTTCCGGATGCTCGAACAGATACCACTTGGGTTGGAGCGGGACGAAAGTGTGGCCGTTGCTCCGGCGAGGGTCGACTGGAAGGAGACTCCGGAGGCTCACCTCATCATGCAGGACGTGCCGGGCCTTAAGAAGGAGGAGCTGAAGATCGAGGTGGACGAGAACCGCGTGCTGCGTATCAGCGGAGAGAAGAAGAGGGAAGAGGAGGTGAAAGGGGATAAGTGGCACCGTGTAGAGAGATTATATGGTAAGTTCTTGAGGCAGTTCCGGTTGCCGGAAAATGTGGACTTGGACTCCGTCCAGGCCAAGCTTGAGAATGGCGTGTTAACTATCTCAATTGCCAAGTTGTCTCCGGATAGGATCAAGGGTCCCAAGGTTGTTAACATTGCCGTCAGAGAAGAACAATCACATGACAAGCTGGATGCCAAAGCTAACAAGGAGACCAAGCAAGAGCTATAAGTTTTTTGTTTTTGTTTTTTTGTTTTTTGTTTTTTTGTTTTTTTTGTTGGGTATGGTGTGTCTGTGTGTCCCTGTGAGACTCCCAAGCTTGCTTCTAGAAGCAAAATGTAGAGACATGTTATGTATTGGGTGAAAATTGAATAAGATTTGCATCTTTCTTCACCAATTAACGGGAAGCAAACGTTTATATAATTAAGGTATAAACAAAATGGTAAACAATTTTTCCACCATTCATTTTGATTATTATGAAAAAAATAAGTCACATTTTAGTGAAGAGAATTAATTTCGATGATTATTTAAAAAATAATAATAATTTATTAGATTTTATATGGAATATTTGAAATCGGGGCTTTCGAGGAACTTGCTACGAAATAAATTGTACGGGGAACTTTTGAAATAAGGACTTCCAAAATGGGTCTGCTGGTTAACTCTTATCATCCATCTTTTTTTTTTTTTTTTTTTTTTTTTTTTTTTTTTTTTTTTGGGTTAAGTGCTCTATCATTAATCATTCTATAAGCAATTAATTTTTGTTACATGCAAGTATTACCTAAAATTACTATTGAAAAAATATATACAAAAGAATAGAAATATTATTGGCAGTACCCCCCATCTCTTTAGTCAATTTAGTTTTTAATACAAGCTCATTTAGTTTTCTTTGTTTTTTTTTTAAATTATTGAGATAGGTGTGAATTTTATATATTCGTTTCTGGATCCATTCTGCTCGAGCAAGAATCAAAATATCAAAATTTGGTTCAATTAGAAATATTTTAATCGGTGCGAATTTGCAGGAGGCCTAGAAACCTCAATATAGTAGGCCCAGTTAATTTTTAATGAATATCAACAAAATAGGCCCAATAAATCGAATTTAGGAACTCGTGCAAAAAAAATCCTCAATTAATTTACTCCCTTATTGTTCAAAAATTTTCTTACTTTTTTCAATTTATACAAATAAGAATGAATCATGATTAATCATACTTTATCATTAACAAAAAGGAAAAAAATGTTATATAAACATATGATTTTGTGGGGTCCACTTCTATTTGACTAAAGAAGTTGGCAGTGCAGCTTATTGAAGAAGCTGCTTGCTGCCCTAAGTAATCCTTGATATCACCACGCCCTAAGTAATCCATGATATGACCTTTTGTGTGGAGAACAAGGTCACGTTTGTGTGGCTTATAAGAGAAGTTAAAATCTGAGCCTATATAAAGCCACGAGTATGTACCACTTTGGATATACTTAATGAAAATTTTTCATTCTCTCTCTTTTCGTTTCTCTCTCTCTTTCTCTCTTTAAAGCTTTGTTCTCATTTATCTTATAATATTATTCTTTCTATATATATATATATATATATATATACATACACATATATTTATTATACCTTATCAGCACAAATTCTATTCATCTGAGATTTGAAAAAGAAGAATCTTTCTCTCTTTCTATCTCAACTATATATCTATTTTGTGATATTAGTTTTGATAGATTGTTGGATTGGTTTGCTTTATCGAAGAAAATAGTATTTCTAACTTCAAAGAGTAAGAAAATTTTAATTATTGATTATTGTTCATAAAATAAATTTGTTCACTTAAATGATATATGTGCTCGCACTATAGTCGATTCTACCACCTTTATTATTTAATGATCTACTAATTATGGTCGATCTTACCACCTTTATTATTTAACAATTTATGGCAAATTTTACCGCCTTTATTGTTTAATAATTTATTCGCTATGGCTGGTTTTACCACCTTTGTTATTTAAATAATTCATATTATGTTATTATTTCATTTAATGTCATTTTATTTATTTATATACTATTCTAAATTATATTTTTATATTGTTACATCTAGTTATTCTGAAAATGTCAAACTTAACAAAGTTGGAATTCGTGGCCTTAGACATATCTGGCAAGTATTATTTATCTTGGATTTTGGTGAGAAGGGAATGAATTTTGATATCAACTAGCATCTAAATGGAAACAAAAGGGGAAGCAAAAGGAAATGAATTTTCTTGATTATGACGAGCCAGTTGATATCACAAATCTGGAAATGAATTTCATTAATCATGATGAGCCAGTTGACATCACAAATCTGGATGTATCATATTTTTTTAAGAACCGTGATGGAAAGATAGACTTCCTGATTGGTGATGGAAATGTCCGCACCAATTAATCCTATTTTCTTTTAATATTTTGTTTTCCTTGTATTAAAGTTTTTATCTTCTAGTTTGTATTAAGGTTTCTTTTGTTATAAATGTTTCTTTTCTGATAAAGAAATTTGCATGAATATGAATGGATCTGACTAGTTCCAAATTAAATGGAGAAGATATATGTTTTGCAGATAGTAGAACGACACACACAATCATTCGAGATCAAAAATATTTTTCTCACTTAACTTTGACAGACGCTAGTGTTAGTATAATATCAGGTCCCATCGACTTGATTGAAGGTTCCGGACGAGCCAATGTCATTTTACCATATGGAACAAGATTACAAATCAATAATACCTTATATTCTACAAGATCTCGGAGAAATCTATTGAATTTTACAGACTTGCGTCGTAATGGGTATCATATTAAGACTGTAAATGAAAGAAATGTGGAATATCTCTGCATTACTTCCATTACCTCATGCAAGAAGCGGATATTAGAAAAACTCCATGTTTTCTCCTCTAGGTTATATTATACAACCATTAGGACAATTGAGTCAAATGCTGTTATACATAAAAAATCGTGTAACCTAAAACTTTTTATGCTTTGGCATGATCAATTTGGTCATCCGGGGAGTACAATGATGCGTCGAATTATTGAAAATTCATATGGACACCTACTAAAGGATCAAAAAATCATCTTACCAAATAATCATCTATGCACCGCCTGCTCACAAGGTAAATTGATTATCAGACCATCCCCTTCAAAAGTCATTATTGAATCTCCCCCATTTTTACAACGAATTCACGGGGATATATGTGGGCCAATTCATCCACTTTGTCGACCATTTCACTATTTTATGGTTTTAATTGATGCCTCAACACGATGGTCACATGTTTGTTTGCTTTCTACTCGTAATGTTGCATTTGCTAGACTTCTTACTCAAATCATCAAATTAAGGGCATATTTTCCTGATCACCTAATTAAGACAATCCGTCTTGATAATGCCGCTGAATTTTCTTCTCAAGCTTTTGATGATTATTGCATGTCAGTTAGAATTAATGTTAAACATCCTGTTGCACACACTCATACTCAAAATGGTATGACTGAATCTTTTATTAAAAGACTTCAGTTAATTGGTCGTCCTTTACTTATGCAAACAAAATTACCTGTTTCTGCCTAAGGTCATGCCATATTACATGCTGCATTATTAGTTCGTATACGACTAACTGTTTATCATAAGTACTCACCATTGCAACTTGTTTTTGGTCAACAACCAAATATTTCTTACATACGAGTTTTTGGTTGTGCTGTATATGTTCCAATTGCACCACCCCAACGCACTAAAATGGGTCCTCAACGTAGACTTATAATTTATGTTGATTTTGATTCTCCATCTATTATTAGATATCTTGAACCTCTGACAGGTGATGTCTTTAAAGCACGATTTGCTGACTGTTATTTTGATGAGATTGTTTTCCCACCATTAGGGGGAGAAAAGGTACAGCAGCAATGTGATCTTACTTGGAATGCCCTGGAATTGTCTCATTTTGATCCTCGTACAAATCAATGTGAACGAGAAGTTCAAAGGATCATTCGCTTGCAAAATGTTGCAAATCAATTACCTGATGCATTTACTGATACAAAGAAAGTGATAAAATCACATATACCAGCTACAAATGTTCCTGCACAAATTGTTGTCCCTGAGGGACCTTCTGTCAATAATGCAGTAAATGCGCTTAAAACATACCTAAAGCGTGGTAGATCAGTCGGTGCAAAAGATATTGTTCCTCGTAAGAGGAAATCACAAAGAAAAGCTGGCACTCCTGAAGAGGCCACAAAAGGAGCAACAAATATTATTGATCAATCTGAGATAATAACATTTGATAAGGTAAAGGCTCTTGATGAGTCTCAGGTACCTAAAAATGATGAAATAATAAATATTGATGAGGCAAAGCAACAGATGATGATATGACCCTTGATGAGGCACATGCTCTTAATGAGACAAATATACCTAAAAATGATGAGATCTCACTAAATTATGAAACGAGATGGAATAGAAATACAATTGTTGTCAACAACATATTCTTATATGTCGTTACTCTTGATATTGATAATGAGGATCCGGAACCTCAAAACGTCGAAGAATGTCGACGACGAAATGATTGGCCAAAATGGAAAGAAGCAATACAAATTAAGCTAAATTCATTAGCTAAATGTAAAGTATTTGGACTAGTAGTCCAGACACCTGAAGGTGTTAATCCTGTCGGGTACAAATGGGTGTTTGTACAAAAACGTAATAAGAAAAATGAAATCGTTAGATACAAAGCCCGACTAGTAGCTCAAGGTTTCTTACAGAGACCTGGTATTGATTATGAGGAAACATACTCCCCTGTGATTAATGCACCCACATTTAGATTCATAATATATTTGGCCGTCACTGAAAGATTGCATATGCATCTCATGGACGTGGTTATAACATATTTATATGGATCACTAGATAGTGATATTTATATGAAAATCCCAAAAGGATTTAAAATGTCTGAAACAAAACCACGTAGTATATACTCAATAAAATTACAACGTTCTTTATATGGATTGAAGTAATCTGGACAAATGTGGTACAATCGCCTTAGCGATTACTTACTCAAAGAATGGTATGTAAACAATCATATTTGTCCATGCATTTTTATTAACAAATCAGAATTTGGTTTTGTTATTGTTGCAGTATATGTTGATGATTTGAATCTTGTGGGAACATTGGACGAGATTGAAAAGACGGCCACTTATTTAAAGAAAGAATTCGAAATGAAGGATCTTGGAAAGACAAAATTCAGTCTTGGGCTGCAGGTTGAACATTTTCCGAGCGGTATTCTCATCCATCAATCAACATATGCAGAAAAGATTCTGAAACGTTTTCATATAGATAAAGCCTATCCATTGAGCTCTCCAATGGTTGTTCGATCACTTGACATCAAGAAAGATCCTTTTCGTCCTCGAGAGGATGATGAAAAACTCCTT